GAGATAAAGCACAGTGATTTCACCTTTCATTATTTTGTTATGTGTTCTTCAGATATTCTGTACCATGTTTTATGAGCCAGAGTCTCTCATTAGCCTATGGCTTGCTTTGCTGAGTAGTGTAGACTGGCTAGACAGTGAACCTCAGAGCTCTGTCTCACACAAGTATATTAGGTCTTTTTTATGTGGGTTCTGGGTATCAAACTTAGGTTCTCACGTTTATACAGTCAACATTTTACTGACTGAACCATTTTCCCATGTCTTCGTTACTTTTCTATTGTTGTGAAGAGATACCATGACCAAGGCAACTCATTTAAAAACCATTTAATTGGGGACTTATTTACATTTCAGAGGTTGAGTCCATTAAGGAGAGTGGCAGGCATGCTGCTGGAGCATTAGCTAAGAACTTATATCTGATCCACAAGCAACAGACAGAGAGAAAGAGACTAGGCCTGACATGGGCTTTTGAAACCTCCAAGCCTACCCCCAATACTATACCTTCTCTAACAAGGCTATACCTCCTAGTACTTCCTAAGTAGTCTACCAGGTAGGAGCCAAAGAGTCAAACATATGAGCCTATTAGGGCCATTTACATTCAGACCACCACATGCGAACTACAGAAATTTCTCTTGACTTGTTGCTTAGCCAGAATTTATTTTAATTGTCCAAAGTAGGCAATTACTTATATTCCATAAAGAGTTAAAAAAAAGTAATCTTTTTGAATTGTCTCATAGTGTTTTAATAATTTCCCAAAATATTGCTTTTGTTTTATATTACAGCATTAGTTTTGAATTATGTTAGGAACTTTCATAATTACGGAAAGAACATAATAAGAATTAACTTTTTTAAACTGGGCGGTAGTGGCCCGTGCCTTTAATGCCAGCACTCAGGAGGCAGAGGCAGGCGGATCTCTGTGAGTTCAAGGACAGTGACATTTACAGAGTGAGTTCCAAGGTACCCAGAGTTACACAGGAAACCGTGTCTCAAAACAACAACAAACCAAAACAAAACACATACACAAGAAAAAGAACAAAGAATTAACTTTTATGTAACATCCTTTGTTGAAAAGAATTAAAAAATTCTTTTCTTAATCTTTTAAAATATGTTTTTACCGTCTATCCTCAACTGATACTTGTATAAGATTAGATATATTCCTTGATCGTTATGGAATACAGTCCTTTTTTAATTAAAAATAATTTTTGTACACTATATTCTGGTCACAATTTCCCCTTCCCCAACTCTTTCCAGACCTTCCTTCTCCAACTCTTCACTTGCCCAACTCCATACCTTTCTCTCTCTTTAGAGGACAAATGAAAATAAAGGAAAAAAATTAAAAGAAATACATGTAAAAATACATAAACAAAACCCATAAAAACACTAAATCAGAAACCATAACCTTCACGTAAAAGACCAGTAAAACAAACAAACAAAATGCCAAACAAAGCAATATAAGATAGAAAGTCTACAAAAATATTATTGAGTTAATTTTGTATTGGCCATCTACTGGTAGGCATGGGGCCTACCTTCAAGTGTGGTTAATGTACCCAGGGTGGAGTCTCTTTCCTTAATGTTCATTTGTAGGAAGTTTGTGGGTATCTCCCTTTGTATGGGAGTATGTACCCTTTTATAATATTTTTATTGAGTACATCAGTACTTAAGCATATATGCATACAGTTTTAAAATGGTTTGATTGATGGTCATAAACACCTCATCTGAGCATGACATTCTACAAATGTTTATTCTAGGGGCTTAGTCACTTCCCCATCACCATGGGGTACTGGTTAGAGACCTTCCCATTCTTCATTTACTGAACTGAGGGACAGTTGGTGGTGAAGGACTCCTTGGTACCACACATAACCTATAACACATAACATAGTTCTATATGTTAATCTAGAATTGACAATCGTGTTTGTTAATTCTATATTTTCATGATCAGACACCAACTGGATGTCCTATATGTATTTACTTAATGAACACTGGGGTTGTTATTCTTTCTCTCCTGGACTGTTGGATCAGCTCCCTAATTAGTGTGTCTGCTCCCCACTTACACAACAGCTGGAGTGTCTTGTTACAACTCCTATGTCGTAACCCTTCATTCTTGTTCGATATCATCCTGCTGGTCATTGTTTTCTCTTGAGGCATAGCCACAGTCGTTACAGTAACTGGCCATGCTCCCCTAAAAATAGATGATTTATGGGATTTGGGTCATATAGAGTGATAAGTACAAAATTTTAAAGATTATTTTCAAGATAGATTGGCAATCTAGAGACCTAGGGAGAAACCCGTGCTGTAATTCAGACCTACAGATTCCGTGACTTCACGCTCACATTCACTGTCAAGCAACACCTCTTCTCAGAAGCGCTCGCTGGCTGTTGGCCGAGTATGTGATTGAGCACATAGTCATGGAAACAACATGCTTCACCTTCAGAAGTCTTGAAACATGAGTGTGATGTTGGCATATTAGGGCTGAAGCTGGAATTGGATTTGCCAAAAAGATAATAAATGATAACACCATTAAAAAATATAAGGCTGTGGTGACAGTGCAGCTTGAAGGAACTTACTTCTTCAGTGGAGAAGGGCTATGGAGTATGGGGAGGAAAAGGACACGAGTCACTTAAATCATCCTGGAAAACCATTACCTACAAATTCTATCCCAGGGACCCCAGTACTTTAAGAGAAGCTCAAACTTTAAGGAAATATGAGCACTGGGCAAGATTTCTGAGTAGAAACCAGAGTTACTCTGTGTGCGTTACCTCTACAATGCTTGACTCTCTACTGTGAGTTCTGTTAAAAAGCCTAACTTCCTTGTTTCTACAGCTGTGCCACCAACAAACAAAGGCGTAGTTTCTTATATCTCACTAACAGGTCTTACTTACTCTTTGTTTGTTGTTTGTTGGTTGGTGGTAGTCACCATAATCCGTATTATGGTTTGGATAGGAAATACTCCCCAAAAGCGTGTTGTTGAAAGAGTGGTTCCTATTACTGTGTTTCCAGCCAGTGCTTTGGGGAAGTGATTAGATCTGTGGGGTGCTAGCTTAATTTGCTTCTCTCTGGTTATAAAACACTAACCAAAACAGAAAGGATTTATTTGGCTTATGAGTTGCGTGGTGCATTAAACTGTCTTCCCCCGGCCCCCAAGGAAGGAACTGAAACAGGATCCCTGGAGGAATGCTGCTTCCTGGATTGTTCTCTGGTAGACTGATAGACACTTACTTTCAGCCTTTGGCTTTTGCTAATCATTAAAATATGCTGAATAAGACTTCAGGATTTGTGTTTGTAGGGTGAAAAATTAATCTTTTAAAATTGTTACCTTGACTGGAAAAGAGCTACTAGGTGTCAGATTTTATTCATATCTTCAAGATAGTGGTGGAATAGAACATTTTAATGTAATATTTTTGTTATTTCTTTGAGAATTTCATACAATGTACATTGGTCATATTCACTCCTTTACTATTCCTCCCAGACCCATCCCTATCTCTGTACCACCACTTTCTCCCCTTTTCTTAAGTTATTATTGTCGTGGGCCCGGGGAGTGTACCTATATACGTACATATTATAATCTGCTGGGAGCATTTAGTGTTGCTCATATATAGCTTTAGGATTGACTACTTGGATAGCCAATTAGGGGACTCATCCCTGGGCAAGACTGATTTTCCCTCTCTCAGTAACCATTAATTTCTTGTGGTTCTTCATCTAAGGATGGGGCCTAGTTAGGTTTTCCTCATCCATGTTAGCATGTCAGTTGGTGTCATCACTCAGGTCTTGTTTAAGCTATCATATTGACATTTCCCTTTCCAGAAGGCAGTCTTGCTTGTTTTAGTTTAAAGAATAGAAAAACAGGGAGAACAATGACCCAGCCAGTGATTTAGAGCACTTGTCACTCTTGCAGTTCTCAGGACCCACATGGTGACTTACAACTGTTGTAGAAAAATTTAATCCCAACTCTGGGTTTCTAACCCCACCTTTGATTATTCAGTTCCTGAATAAAAGACACACAACTTAATCAGCACTAGAGCAAGGCAGATATCTGTCCTTTATGCTGTTATGTCTGTTTCCTAGCCAATAATCTCATTATATAATCTGCCATGTTTCGTCTGCGCTGCTCTTAACTCCAGTTGGCCAACCCACATGGCCATGTTTCCATGACTCACCTAACCCATGATGGCTTCCTCCTCTCCCACCTCCTTCTCCCCTGTTGTGGTTCTCCTCTGACTCCCAAACCCAGAACCCTAAACCCCGCCTTTGTCTCTTCTGTTCAGCTATGGCTGTGGGCATCTTCACCAATCAGAAATAATTTGGGGACAAAGTCACATAGCATCACTTGGGTCTCTGTGTGGACTCTCTCATCTTTGGAGCAGTCAGGTCTGGGGGCCTGCACTTAGCATTACATAGCAACAGACCAAATCTCAACAGATGACCTTCTATAATTCTAGTTCCAGCTGTTCTGTCACGCACTTCTGACCTTCATGGACACCAGGCACACACGTCGTACACATCATTCAGGCAAAACACTCATACACATAAAATAAAGAAATCTTGAAAAAAAAAAGAAAGAAAGGAAAAGAAAAAAGCAATAGAGAAATAGCAGTGTAGAAATATCCTTTTTTCTTTCTTTCTTCTCTTGTTGTTTTTGTTGGGAGGGTTGTTTTGATTTTTGAGATGGGGTCTCAGATAGCCCTGGAAATCTTAGAGCTAGCCATGTATACCAAGTTGGCCTTATAGAGAGTTGCCTGCCACTGTTTTAGAGTGCTAGAATTAAAAGCATACACCACCAAGCCAGAGATTTCTTTTGCAATGTGCATCTCATTTTAAATTTGAGGTTAGTGTCTTGATTTAATATCTCATGACATTTTGTTGTACATTATGAGATTTTACAGGTAATTTAATGTCAAGCTGTTATGATTTCCAATGTCTAGTTGGACAGATAATACTGACTCAGGTGACTCAAAATTCTGTAACACAATACCTTATATTTGGATTTTCATCTTTAAGATTTTGTTTTAGTGCTTGCTTCAGCAGCACATATACAAAAATTGGAACGATACAGAGAAGATTAGCATGACTCCTGCGTAAGAATGACATGCAAATTTGTCAAGTGTTCCATATTAAAAAAAAAGAAAAAATATTTTATTTTAGCATTTTTATAGCACTCAGATTAAGAAAAAAAAAGATTATTATCCCATTTTATGGATGCTAATGCTGAATATCAAGAATTTTGACTGAACCAACAAGTTATAGCCAGTAAGTGGTATACCCAAGGCTAATTTTACTGTTAGTGTACTGTTTATGACTGGAAGATATGCAATGCACATAAACTGACTACTAGTCTGCAGTTGTAGTTCTTAATTTTTCACTTATTAAATGTACTTCAAAGTCTTTTCATCAGTGTATATAGTTTACAGTATAAAATAAAGGCACAACATTTAAAGTACACAGGTTGGTGATTATTTTTTATGAATTGTGAACATACAAAGCAATGACTTTGAGTATGATTGATGTTAAGATATAGGCAGTATCATATGCTTAGGGCCTTTTGATTCCAAATTTTTTTATTATTTTATGTATGTATGTATGTATGTATGTATGTATATGATGTAGAGAGAGTCCTGTGTATGTAGGGACATCTTATTCTTTGAGACAAGGCCTGTCTTGGGACCTGTGGTTTGCTCATTTGTCTAGACTGACTAGCCAGCAAGCCCTGGGGTACACCTGTACCTCCAGACTGCTGGGATTATAAGCATAAGCTATAATGCTGATCTTTTTCTGTGGATGTCAGGGATCAAACTCAGGTCCGCATGCTTGTGCAGCTAGCATTTTCATAAGTTATCTCCCCAGCTCCCTATTTATTTAAATTTGAGACAGCATGGCCTGGAACTTGCTATTTATACCAGGCTGGCTTTGAACTTGATCCTTGCTGCTTCTAAATGCTGGAATTATGTGTGGTGGTATATACCAGTATATTTACTTTTAAATTTTTGTTAAGCTCCTGTGAATACTAACTTGAGTGAAGTGGGTTTCTAATTTTGTTTGTTCCTGTGAGAAGTATTCATGGAGAACCTAGTCTCTGTTAGGCATGAATGTAGGTGTTGGTATTACATATAACATTTACTACATGTACTAACTTACACTTGGGGCTAGGTTCCTGAGTAATCAGGCAAATTCCTATGGGAACATGAGTGTCCAGCCTGAGAGGCTCTGGGAAACTACACAGGAAGTAACATCTAGACTGAGTCCTGAGTATGAGTAGGAATTGTTCAGATAGGGCATTTAGGGAGGAAGAGCTGAAGGCAGGAGGCCAAGAGGAAAGAGAGAGCAGGATGTGGGGATCAGCACAGCTGCTTCGGTGCTGCCCTAGAGCCTGGGAATCTGGGAGGGGGAGCCTGGGAGTATTGGAGCAGGGCAGAGGACAGTTCTTACTGCTACTTAAGTCTCCTTGTTACAGATAACAGGAATCTATTGCATACAACGCTAAAGAAGAATTTTGGAGAAAATAGTGGGATGGCTCCCAGAATTGAAGAAAGAGCTGTGAATATCAAGTCTTTGAAGAAAGCAGACAACCAAGGCAACTCCTGGTCTCCCTGAAGTTCTCGTGGAATTTTTCTACAGGGGCTTAGTTATTTGCTCTGGCCACAGAGCCTTGTTTGCCACTTAGATATCCAGGGTTTGAGAAATAGTCTGAGTAAGTTAAATTAGATCTACTGACCAAACCTAGAGCAATCCTGCAACCAGAGGATCGGATCAGACTCTGTATCTGTTTTGTCTAAGTGGCTGTTGTGTGATCAGGACAGCAAGATTTGTTACCTGAAACAGAATGAATAGAGTTGAGGCCCAGCCTAGAAGACCAAGTGCGGAGGCCTAGAAAGCCATAAAGTAGAAGGAATGGTGGAGCTTCAGAAGCCAGGAAGCAAATTGCATTAATCCAAGCAAGAGATGGTATGCCAGCAGTAATGCCTTCTGCAGGGAGGGAAGGAAGCACATTGATTCTGAGATACTTAAAAGGAATAAAGAAGACTTGGACTTTAGAGGTTAGTTAGAAACATTAAGGCAGTGAACTGAGTCCCATGTTTCTAGCTTGGGCTAGAACTGTTAAGTAAATAGTGCTGTCTCCCACAAACAGCTACTTTTTAAGAGAGTACTTTCATTCAGTTTCAAAGTATTGAGTTGGAGTACATTTATCTTAAAAACATTTGGATTATAGCTGCTGCTGGAATTCAGACTGCCCTCAGAGCCATCACCAATAGGAATCTTGTCAGGTCCCAAAGAAATTCAGGTCAAATGGCTAACTAAGATGCCTATTAGCATAACACTGCGCACTGGCTGCAGAGCTCACTCTGTACCTGTGGCTCCTCTCTGCTCTTCTGCACTCCCATTCCCTACCCTAAACCTTTCTAGCTCAGGGGCTTCATTTTCCAGCTTCAGATTCTTTTAAAAACCTGCCATTTCAGCCATGTGCTTTCTTGGCTCTCTCTTGGTCCCATCTTTTTCTCTGGTTCTTCCTCAATCTCTCCTCTTCTTCTCTGGCTCTTCCTCAATCTCTCCCCTCTCATGGCCCACTCTATTCTGGTGGCCATGTTCAATCTGCCACTTTCTGTCTTTGCTCTGGATTCTTCAGATGTGCTAGGATTTAGCAGTAGAAGTACATGAGGGAGGGGGTATTTAGGGCCAGGACATGCAGCAAAGATCACACCATACAGCAGATCTCAGGCAAGAGATTTATTGGAGTGGGGAGTGAAAGGCTATCTGGGGGCGGGGTGGAGACAGACAGACAAAGAGACAGTGAGAGAACATGGGAGAGAAAAACACAAGAAGAGTCAGGGTAAGTCTCTGCTCTTAAAGGAACTTCATGGGAAAACAAAGATCTTCTAAGTGTAGAAATTTTCCACCCATGATTGCAGGAAAGTCCCTGAGACCTCATTGCACCTTCAGAAAGAATTCTTTCCTGCAACTGGTCTCCTCACCTGTTTCCTGAGCTTAGACTTAAATAAAGCTTATCGCCTCCATCAGTTATGTCTTCTGCTTTAGACAAAACTAATTAGGAAGTTGGACCTTCAGCACAGATTGGGGATGTCCTTGATTAAGAAGTTAAATTGTAGTTTGAATGTTTTGCCTGTGACTAATAGTGAGTGCTGTTATTTTGTTAAATGAGTTAATTCAGATCCTAAGTGGTTCCTTCAGATATTTTGGTCAGTGCTTTTGCCATTAGGTAGCTTAATAGCCTTAAAAATCCTCTGGTCTCAGTAGTGGTGTTAGACATATGTTCAGGTCACAAAGAAAGAGACCACCATTCCAACTGAAGTGTCTGGACAAGGCAAATTTTACTGTTGATCAAGAGAGTGTGCTAGGAACACACCAAGATAGTAGGCAAAGGTCTTATTGGGTGGGGAAAATTTAAATAGTTTCATAAAATTCTTACAAAGTGGGGAGGGATAAAAATATTTTAGTTCTTTGTCTTAAACACAAATTTTATAATATTTGATAAACAAAAGATTCACATGTGATATTTCTTACAGTGGAACCAGAATTGTTTCTTAAGGAAAATGTAGGAACTTTGGGGAGCACTATTTGGATATCAAAACCATTAAGTAGGCTAGGGCCAGAGTTACTGACTGTCATGCCTAGAGCTTTTGGAATGGTTAAAAACAAAAAGACAGGAAAGAAAAGGGGAATAAAAGGAAGCCATATAATTATCTGAGCATAGGCCCTAACTGTAATCATACAATTTCAGGAAAACTTGCTTTACCCAAAATGCCATGAAATTATAAATTGACTGAATGAGCTCTGTTTGAAGCTTTATGTCTTTACTTTTGTGTGTGTGTATGCGTGTGCGCGTGTGTGGGGGGGCATATGTGTGCCATAGCATGGAATGGGGCCAGAGACAGTTTTGGACCTTTTATGGGTTTTGAGGATCAAACTCAGGTTGACACACTTGTAGGGCAAGTCTTTTACCCAGTGAGCCATCTCCACAGTACCCCCTCATTGTATTTATGGATGATGCCCCTTGCTTTATTATTTTTATACTGGGGATACAACCCAAGGGCCATATGTATGCTAAGCACACACTTTACCATTTGGCCACTATCTTATCCTTATTTGTTTTTCTTTTTCTTATTTAGAAAGTCAAATCCTTTAAGATAATGGTTAGGATATATTGTTAAGCTTTTTGTTTATTTTTAATTGAAGAATAATGAACTTGTTATGGGAAGCCCACTAGAGAAGACCACTTAGACACAGTCTATAGCCAATTGAAAATCTTTATTCCAGCTGGCTAAGACTATACTCAGGTATTTGATACCCAAGTGTAGTGCTAAGCATTTAGAATTGAGTTTTTAAAAGCAAAAATCATGTTCTGGTATCTCACACAGCAGTTGCAGAGTGGCAGGGGGTTAGGGTTGGGGGAGTTTGCACAAGCAAGCAGTTTAACAGAAGCTAAGATAAGCAGTTAGCTGGAGTGGGATGTTTACACAAGCAGACCATTTACCAAAAACTAAGATAAGTTAGCTGGGACATCTTGACCTCAGGTTCCTAGAATAGAGTTGGATAATTTTCGATGGGGCTTCTCTTCAAGGAGATCAAATCCTAATTAAACCTAAAATGGCCTCAACAAGAATACAAGGTGGAGGAACCTATGCTCTGTCTTGCCCTGTCACAAATTAAATTAACATTTTCTCAGGTGACATAAAACAGAGGACCAGGAAAAGGGTACACAAGATGCAGGGATAAAGTTGTTGGATTCTAAGGATGGGGATCTAAGAGTAGAGTACATCTAACCTTGGCATGAACCTCAGTGGTAGGGTGTTTGCCTAGGAGAGTGAAAGACTCGGTTGAGTTCAGAAGGGGTAAGGTGAGTAAGGTGAGTTACTGAATGTTGTATAGCAGCTGAGTTTTCCTTGGGTGACTTTAAAGCAATATAACTTCTCTCTCTGCTTTGTTTTCCTCTTCAAGGAAAGACAGCAACTTCAGCCTATCTAAGCTTCATTATATATGCCAGGCATAGGTTGTAAGGGTCCATGATTCACCAAAGATACCCCGGACTAAAATAGTACGGAAATGCAAAGAGTGTTTTATTCTGCATAAGTCCAGCATCCTGGGATCTCCGAGTACCAAGATAGAGGACCCCCCGAAAGGAACTCACAGGCTCAATTTATAGCATATTAGGGGGAATTCCAGGGTAGGTGGGCTTTGTCTTACTCTATCTCTAAGGATATTCCATTACAGAGGCGTGGGGGCTGGCTGGAAAAGCCAAGTGATAGGGCAGTTTCTGATTAGCTGCCTGAATAATGGGTTTTTAGGTCTAATCTCTTGAACTGCTGCCAATTGGAGCCTTCTTCGAAAGGTGTAACAGAAATGTAGTAGAATTCTAGTTCTGCTTCCAAGGAAGTTAAAAAAGCATTACCAGAGCCAGTCTAAACAGGGTTAGGAATGGGACAAGTTTTTTAAAATCCTCATATTCCAGCTATGTTGATCTGAGATGTTAGCAAAAGGAAGAGGAGAAATTTTTTTTGTTTTGTTTTTTCTAGACAGGGTTTCTCTGTGTAGTCCTGGCTGTCCTGGAACTCACTCTGTAGACCAGGCTGGCCTCGAGAGAGATCTTTCAATGAGGGTAGAAACAGGAGCTTTGAGATGAGGGCCTGTGTGCTTGGAGATGAGGTCTTGGGGAAGGAGATAGAGCCAGGTAATATTGCAAGCTTTATTTCTGCTCTGTCTTCAGTTTGGTGGGTGAGCCATTGGAGGACTTAAGCAGGATAATCACACCAGGTCTCTTAGAAAGAGATCATTTGTGGTTGAATTTAACCAAAGGAACAAGTCTGGAGGTGGGGAAAGCTCTGACAACAGATGATGAAGGTTGCTCCATGGCAGGAGTTGAGTGGGAGTGACTTGGACAAATCTGAGAGCTTGTTGGGTTTAAACTTAGCAGCAGACTTCATGGTGACAAGAAGTCATGAGACAGGGTGGGGATTTCTAGCTGGGGTGATTGGTTAAGTAATGCTACCATGTTTGAGAGAAGATAAAGAATTGTATTTAAGATAATGAGGAGGTGAATGACTTATTTTAAACATCAGTTCCTTGATTTATCTTTTAAAAGAATTGAAGTTGTTTGGATCATGTGGTTTGAATGAAAATGGATCCCCATAGACTCTTGTATTTGAATACTTGATCCCCAGTTGGTGTAGCTGTTGGGGAAGGCCTAATAGGTGTGACCTTGTTGGAGAAGGTGTGTCACTCACTGGGTTTGGATTTTGAGGTTTCAAAAAGTTTAGCCATTCTGCCTTGTACTTACTATATCAGATATAAGCTCTCAGCTACTGCTCCAGTGCCATGCCTGTGACAGACTTTTGAGGCAGCATAAAGAGACAGGAGGTTTAAAAAGACAGGAGCCTATTCTTTGACAGTCAGGACTATGTTTATTAGTGTTTATTAGTGTACACAATGAGGAGCTGACTCTCCAGGTGGAAGCTGAAGAGAAAAAAAAATGGCCGTGACTCTTTATGGGGCAGGGTAAGGGATAGATGTGGTGGCAGCAAGTACCTCATGTTTCCCTCCTTCCTGAAGTTGTTTGTCAAGATGAGACAGGCTGCCAGACAGATGCTTCTTTCCAGGGTGACCAACTAAGGTCAGGCATGATGATCTGTAACCTTGTAGGAATTCCATATAATAGATGAGGTACTCTGTCAATCTGCCTGCCTGCTGCTATGCTCCCTGCCATGGTGATAATACACTCACTCTCAGAACTGTAAGCCCCAAATTAAAAATTTTTTTTAATAAGTTGCCTTGATCATGGTGTCTTCACAGCAGTAGAAAAGTAACACAAATGCCCATATAAAAAACATTTGGCAGAGCTATTTGAGTATGACATTCAATATGGTCAGGACCTGCTCTGTGTAGAAGTACTTAAGCCAGGAAAAAGTGTTGAAATCATCAGAGAGAATGTACCTGAAGAGAGGGGCAGGGATGCAATGTTAGGATCTGGGAAGTAACCATATGTAAAGGCAGGCAAGGGAGAGGAGATACAAATGATGGTCTGGAAGCTAAGAGATTGGGGCTTCCAGGAAAGCCTCATTTCAAAATATCAATTGAGGCCAGGCAGGGTGGTCCACACCTTTAATAGAAATATTTGGGAGGAAGAAACAAGAGGATCTCTATAGAGTTTTAAGGCCAGCTTGCTGTGTATGACCAACCTAGGTCTACATAGTGAGACCCTGTCTCAAAGTTAAATGTACTTGTGCATGGTGGTGTACACCTGTAGTGGTAGTAGATGAGAGACTAGAAGATCCCAAGTTGGAGGCCAGTCGGGGTTATATAGCAATAACCTGTATCAGCACATACTTAAAAGGAAAAAGAAATGAGGGGAGAGACAGGGGAAGGGCAGAGGAAGAAGAAAGAGAGTGAGAAAGGCGGGCCAGAGAGACTGACTGGCCCAGAGAAAGTCAAAGGTAAGATGAAGACCAAATGCCATGTTGAATGTGGCCTTTTTTTTTTTTTGGCCCCACTTACACCAGCCCTCCTTGCTCCACCCCAAAGGTTTGTATTTATTTATCGTATGTAAGTACACTGTAGCTATCTTCAGATACCCATAAGAGAGCATCAGATCTCATTACGGATGGTTGTTAGTCACCATGTAATTGCTGGGATTTGAACTCAGGACCTCCGAAAGAGCAGTCAACGTGGCCTTCTTAGTTGCTTTTGTTTTTATTTTTTGAGACGAGGTCACAGTGCAGTGCAGACTGTAGGCCTCTTGCCTCATTTTCGCCAGTCCTGGGATTATAAGAATATGCTAACATGCCTAGAAAGATTTGATTTTTTAAGACTGTGTCCTTAATGAGAGATGTTTCTAGATTGTAGTGGGTTAAAAATAAATGTGAAGTAGGCCTACTCTTAGGAAAATTTGTGTAAAGAGTAGAGAGGGTCATGGTAGTGACTAAAGAGTGATTCCAATTAATTCATTTTAAGGGAGGAGAGAATGAAGCCTATTTATAAAATTCCCGATGGGCAAATTATTCAGAAAAGGGGAGTAGCTAATGGGTCCTGAGTATCTGGATTGGCCTCAGTCAGGTTAGCAGGTAAGATTGGCATATTGACAGGATAGAGGTAGGGGAAGATCACTGAAAGAAAACCTTCTAGAAGATCTCTTAAGAAAACAAACAAGCCAGGCAGTGGTGGTGCACGCCTTTAGCCCAGCACTTGGGAGTCAGAGGCAGGTGGATTTCTGAGTTCGAGGCCAATCTGGTCTACAGAGTGAGTTCCAGGACAGCCAGGGATACACAGAGAAACCCTGTCTTGAAAATCCAAAACAAACAAACAAGTAAGTAAGTAGGTGGGTGAATGGATGTGTGGCTGAGGAGATGGCCCAATGGTTTAGAACACATCTTGTTCTTGCATAGGACCTGGGTTTGATTCCTAGCATCCATGTGGTGGCTTACAACTGTCTGTAACTCCTGTCCTCGAGACTTCAGTGCCTTCTTCTTACCTCTGCAGAGACCTTGGTTCCTCTGTATGCACATGGCATACATACAGTGCAGGCAAAATACTCATGCCACATGAAGACTGACAGGACCTGCTCAACAGTAGAGACGAAAACAACAACGCCAGGCTTCTCAGCAGGTTCATGCTGTGAGCACTGCACAGCTGGAGGAATCAGCTGCTTAGAGGTAGACTCCAACCTAAATGACAGACGAAATGAAGGAAGGAAGGAAAGGCTCACCATTGTAAGAGCCACTAGTAGAAATAAGACAGGAACTGGGATGTCCGAGGAAGAGACGACACAGCGGTGTTGCTAGTTGATGGGAAGCTCTCTGGGTGTTTAATCTCTGAGGATTATAATGGGAAAGGAGAAGCTGATGGCACCCGTGATGACATGTAGAGGCTGAGGAGTTCTCTTCATGGCATACAACTGTCTCTGATGGAAACTGGGGTGACAGTGGCAGCAGCGGAGGGTAGGGTGGGGGTGGGGAAGCTGTGCTTTTTACTTCTCACTTCTGTCTTCTGGAGTCTGCTGTTATAATTGGGTTTTACACCATGAAAATGAAGCCTGTTAATGTGTCTCCCCAGGAATACTGACAGAAGCCAGAGTTCTGGAATTTACTCTGCCTAAGCTTGCCTGACATAAATCTACCTCTCCGAGCACTGGGCTCTTCCCTGTAAGAGGGACTGCCCATGATATATCTTTCAGTTCTGCTCTTTTGCTTCCTACCAGCTCTAAAGACTGCCAGCACCCAGTGTCTGTTGTTGGGTAAAAAAAAGCAATGAATTGCTTTCCTATTCTTTTGAGATTAACCCCAGGCCTTAGAACTTAGAAGCACCATCCTAAAAACATCTTCTTTATAACAAAGGCCAGAGAATTTCTTGTTGTATTCCCTGTATATCAAGACATTAATGCAAGAGGAAGGCAGGCTACATTCTCCTATTTTTTCCTCAGCCTCAACAAAAGATCCCATATTCTTCGGTGGAAACTTAGCATCAAAGAGTCTCGAGATGACTTAGTCAGGCTTGTGAGTCCTGAGCACTCTGGCCTGCTCCTCTTCTGTGCTGTGTTTATCTAGGGTATGTGCAGTAGAAAAAAGTTTCTATCGTTGAGCTAGCCTGTGCCTAGCATCCCTGTCTCTAAGCTACAGGTGGAGCTGATAGAGTTGTCATGAACATCCAACTCCTTCTGTCTTGATTAGTTATTGACCATTAGTTTAAAATATTTGCCTTCACATTACAAGTGGTTAAATGTTAACTTCTTAAAAAATATAAGATAGCTCAGCAGGATATGAGTTATGACATTTAGGGTGTTGTCTTATTGCTTCAGAACTGTGGAGTTTTTGAGTAATACACCATGTTACATGATTTGACTGAAAAAAAAAAGCCTTAACTTGGTTTCATTGGCTTAAATATAGTTCAAAGCAGTAGACACAGAGTTCAGATGAGGAAGTGCTGTACAATCAAGGAAGTAAGAGCCTTTAAAGATAGTTTGCTTTCATGGACGTGGCTGTCCAAGTTCTGATAAATGACTTGAAATAAGAGGAGAAGTACTGGAATAGAAATCCTCTATACTAAATTAGGAGAGAAGGAGTGTGGGGACCCGGGATGTGAAAACCTCCTTGTCTGTTGACTTTACAGAGGTGGGCTTGTGTGGGTAAAGTGACTGAGACGGAGGAGAAGAAAAGGATCTGACACCACGAACTAGCACCACACAGGGTATTGTTATATTTCTGCATTTCTTTTCTGTCTCACTTGTCTTTCTCAGGTATTTAAAGCATAAAAGCTATTTGTTTAAAGTCTCCTAAATTCTCAAGGACCTTTTTGTCCTTGCTGTGTTAAGAAGGAAGCAATGATGACTAGTCAGAAGAGTTGCTCTTTTGTTAACCTGTAATTTAAACGAAAAAAGGAGGCCAGTCTTTGGTTTGCTTTTATTTCTTGTTTTAGAGAAAGGGTTTTGGGTAAGTTGTAACCTTTAACTGTGCTAATTAAAATCTCCTTTCAGCAGAGATCAGTGGTTTTGAATCTCCTTATAGATATGTATCTGATTACTGACTGCATTTGAAAGTAACTTAATGGTCCTGTGGTTTCAAAGTGAAGGGCATTGTAAAAGGCAGCTGTGCTCTGTTTGGCATCGCGCATTTTAGGTCTTGTGGAGAATTACATTGGGAAAGACTTGAGTCATGTTTTGAGTCATGTTTTTTTTGGTATTGTGTTATATTAATTTTTTGTTTGTTTGTTTGATTTTCTTTTTTGTTTTTGTTTTTTTGAGACAGGGTTTCTCTTTTTGTTTTTGTTTTTGTTTTTGTTTTTTGAGACAGGGTTTCTCTGTATAGCCCTGGCTGTCCTGGAACTCACTCTGTAGACCAAGGTGGCCTCGAACTCAGAAATCCGCCTGCCTCTGCCTCCCAAGTTCTGAGTTTAAAGGCATGCACCACCACCGCCCGGCTTGTTTTGATTTTCAAGGCACAGTTTCTTTGTGTAGCTCTGGCTGTCCAGGTCCAGGACAGAGACCTGCCTCTGCCTCCTGAGTGTTGGAAGTAAAGGCTTGTCTCACCCATCATGTTATATTAGTTTTTAGCCATAAATGCTGCCTATGATCTTTGGAAAGAGAAATGTACTATTTATTTATCTTTGCTGTCCACAACTAACCAAATAATTGTTCTTTATTCATTAACCCGTAAAACTGTTTAAAAGAAAAAAGTAGACCATTATTTTGTTTTGCTTTGCTTCTCTTTTTTTATTTTTGAGACAGAGTCTCTCTATGTAGCTATAGCTGTCTTAGAACTGGCTGTGTAGACCAGACTGGCCTTGAACTAACAGATATCTGCCTGTCTCTGCCTCCTGAGTGCCAGAATTAAAGATGTGCACCACTATGCCCAGCCTATTCAATTTTCTCTGTCACTGAGCTGTAACTCCTGACATGGACATTTTTAAATTTGGGAATTAGCACTGAGCTATTGGTAATAGACTTGAGAAAATGGGCAGCAGCCATATTTTTTCCCTCTTTGAGTCAAGGTCTTAGGTAACCCAGGCTGCCTCAGACTTGTTAATGTAGCTGAGGATGACCTTGATCTCCTTGCCTTTACCTCTCAAGTGCTAGGATTACAGCTAGGTGCTACTGCACCTATTTCATGAGTGCAGGGCCTCATGTAGGCTAGGAAAGCATTCATCAACTGACTCATCTCTCCATCCCAGCAGTCAAAACTTGCACCAATTATTCATCAATGCAAAGACCCAAGTGCATACATATCTCTATCTGTCTGTCTGTCTGTCTGTCTGTCTATCTATCTATCTATTTATCTATCTGAAAGGGATGTGATAGATAGTGGTGTGGATAAATAAGACAACTATGGGAGTGATGGTAGGTTTGCTTAGGAAGAATACTCTGGCTTCCCTTTGAGTGAATTATTTGGAAACAATTTGAGTGGAGAAGAAGGAAAAAGGATTGGAATCCAATCCTATAACATGATCCCAAGATCACTAAGTTAGCTACCAAAAGATATGCACAGAAATCAAGAACACACTGTTGCTAAATGCTGTTTTAAGCCTTATCAACCTAAGAGAGGGACTTCCTTTGGCCATGTTATAGATGAAGCATTTTGACCTCCAAGTTAAAAAACTTGTCAGACTAACAAGAGACCAGGCCAGAATTGTGACCTAGGCAGCCTCACTTCCTCCTTGCTGCATGATAAAAAGTGAAGAGATGGGAGGGTTCCTTTCTTTGAATTTGTACATAGTCAGCTGAGTTTCCAGCGCCTCTTCCAAGTCTATTCAGTAAATGGGGTTTGTTATGTGTTAAGAGTGATGTAACATGAGCCCCGTGTGCACTTCAAGTTTTTTAGTAGCAGTGTTCAAAATGCCAAAAAGAAAAGTAGGTGAAATAATTTTCATAATATACTTACTTAGCTTAGTATGTCAAACTGTTACTATGTCAAGCTGTATAGATGGGTAGGTGGCCAATAAGAAGTATTTTTATGTTATTAAGATAGTCTGCTATATGTCTTATACTACAGCACATCTCAATTCAGATTAGCCACATTTTAAGTTGAACCATGGTATGTGGCTACAAATTAGAAAACATAACTCCAAGAAAAAGACAATCATCCTAAAAGCTAATCAGAAACAGAGAACCTGCTTTAAAGCCACTGGGACTAGGGGGTTACAGTGTTAGCATTACCTAACTTGAAAGCTCTGGAGGAAAGCTCTCCTACTGAGAAGGCTGGGGCTGCTCTGTAAGGAAAGAGTTTGACCAATATCAGTTAGACAATAGACCTTCCGTCTGCAGACTATTTATAGAGCAAAGTCTGAACCCCTTTATCACCCCCACCAGAAGCAACCTCAGGAAAACCACGCTGTTGGCTCTTAGATACTGAACTATATTTGGGGTAGCAGAGTGTGTGTGCTGGGGAGTCTGCTAGCTGAGTCCAGTCAAGACTGGAAACCACAGCCTTTGATGTATGTGTCAGTGTTGTTGCTAAAGGTTTTCCTCCTTGTGCTGTTTTTAGATGGAAACTGTAATGTCTGCCTAAGAAGAGAAATGCGAATAAACTACTGTATAAGGAAATGTGCAGCCCTTACTCTGCTTGGAGCGATGTCAATGACAGTTGCAAGCCATCTCCATCCGGAGATCGTCTTGTATTTAAAAAGTTCTCCAGTCAGTCGAGCCATGGTGTTTTTTTGCTCCTGTGGCTCTTGTTCTTTTGTCTTTGACTCACTGACCCTCTCTCTTTTCCACTTGTATTTGTTGTTTGGGGTTAGGTTTTTTTTTTTTTTTAGTTGTTTTGTAGTAGGCACAAAAACAAACAAACAACCCCAGCTCTCACCTTAAAGGAAGGAAGAGATAGCTTTTTTTCTAGAGTCATTTTGAGTGACCATAGCCTGGGAAAACAGATTTAGGTTATTGTAGTTTTATACTTTTACAAAACAAAGAAAGTTATAAATCAGGGCAAGGTGGTTGCAACATGATGAGGGAAGCTTGACTGTAGGCCTAAGGTACTGATGACGTTCTTAGCTTTTGGGTCAGAGGACGCTGGCAGTCTGCTAAATTAATGGATTCCAAAGGTTTTTTTTATCTGTTAGTCACAAGATGTTAATTCTGAAATAGAGGTGGGCAAGGAATAGTTGTTGGGAGATGGAGGGAGTCCTAAAGCTAGCCCACGGTAAGGCAGTTATCTCTTGGGCCGTCAGTAAATCAGTCTCTAAAGGCAGCTTCTTTCCCAGAGTTCTTATTCACCTTAGGAAGCTACCTATGAAGAACCTGAGTCTTGCTTATGTTTCTCTTAAGTGTGGGACATTTAACTGTGTTTGAAAACATAACGAGACCAGGTAGGGAGGTTCAGAAGTTCTGGGTAAACCTAGCAAAGGTTGGAGGTGGGGGCTCAGGTAATGTGCAAGAAAATTATAAGAAGCTCCTAGTGGTTATATAAGCAATAAACAGTTGATGAGGGAGCAGAGAGTCTTTGGTGGATGTCACCTGTGCCCTGGACAACTCTCCACCTGACCCTACCTGCCCTTGGGGGTTGGCAGTGAGTTGGCACAGGGTCATCAACATAGACTCCAGGAGCAGGTGAGAAATGTGGCAGCAAGCTCATCTGAGGACTGCTGTGTGCTTCTTTAGTACCCTCCACCCACGCCCCCGTTCAAACAGCATCTCTTCTAAACAGCATTTTCTGATTGCTGGCATTGTTTGCACTACCAGTCCTTGCTCTTTCAGGCAGTCCTCAGTTTGGTCCTCCTGCAGGAGATGCTTTTACAGCTGCACAGCCCCCAGTGTTTACATGGAGGCAGCCTGCTGTTCCTGCTACAGGTGGAACATCCAGTAATACAGCTTTAGTCCATTTCACCCACACTCTGTAAGCAGCTCCAATAAACTCTTTGTAGAACCACTTTCTTTGGTCTATCTTGAGTACCTATTTGGAGTAATTCTGTAATTTATCACTTTTAAGTTAATTTAACACACATGATGTATGTTCGATACTCATGGAGGCCAGAAGAGGGTGTTGGATCCCCTGGAACTGAAGTTACAGACAGTTGTGAGTTGCCATGTAGCTACTAGAAATCCATCCTGGACCTCTGGAACAGTACTGAGCCATCTCCCCTGCTCCTGTTGGAATGTGTGAGTTCAGTAATGGTAAGCAGACTCACGCCTTGTACAGTTATCCTCTCCGTCTCCAGAGTGCCTCCGCTTCCCAACTCAGACACTGCGTGGAACTCTGAGATTCTTGGGAGTTGTTGAGTGGTAATTTTCAATTCTCCACCTCCACACCCCTGTCCCTGGTACCTACCTTCTATCTTTATGTATTTGGTTATAATAGATACCTGTAGAAAGTGGGAACAGTCAGTATTAGCCCCATTGTAACCTGGCTTTTGTTTTTAATTTGGTATAGAAAGATCTTCAAGGTCTATCCATGAATTACATGTGAGAATTTCCTTTCTTAAAGGGAGAGACATTCCATCATTTGTATGTAGCACATTTTGCTTATTCATTCTTATGTTGTTGGAACTTTTTTTTTTTTTTTTTTTTTTTCCTGAGACAGATCTTACTATAAACTGGTCTTGAATTCACTGTAACCCAGGCTGGTTTCAAACTCAGAATCCCCTCAGCCCACACACACTTCAGCTTTCTGAGAGCTGAGATTACAGGTGTGTGACTTTTAGCTATTGTTTTCACCTTAGTGGATTAACATGATTCTTTGAGCAAATTTTAATTTTGGCTT